CCAACTCCAAAACATGGCTTATGTATAAATCATTTTAATCCGAAACATGTTATGAAAGAAAGTATACGCGCAGGTATGTATATATTCAAAATATTAACTTATTACATTTGTGTATGAAATATATAGTTCTACTTGTTCGAGATTCCGTTAACGTTGCGCCGTCCGATCAGATGGCAGCATCGATCGGGTATCGACGCTCGATCACCGCGACAGCTGGCGCACGCACGGGCGCGCTCATCGCCAACGTCTTCCTCGCGATATTCAGAGTCGTACAAATGGCCGCGCAGTGATCAGACGCACGACGTGTGCTCTGTGCATTTTCGATTGTGACTACACATTGAAGTGCCCACCGCAGTGATTACAACAGCTGCCGAGATACTGCATTAACATGTAAAGCGACCGCTCATCCAGCGCTACTCGGGTACATCAACACGACGACTCAGGCTCACATGTGCGCGAGTGCCGACCGCCACGTGTCTCACCGGCTCACGGGCGATTCATTGAAGAGGACGGCAATTAATATAATTGCCTCTCATTTACACAGACTATATAGACACCTCATTTTGTTCACCGCTCATCACTCTCAGGTCAGATTGTATCAATTTTGACGCATTAAAGACGCATTAAAGACGGCTCAGACTGTAATCTGAGTTACACAAAAATAAAGTGAATATTTAGTTAACACCTTCCACGCGCGTCCTTCTCATCCCGCTTCCATCGCCGGGATTAATCAGCGATTTCGCGAACATTTGGTCCTTCGAGCCGGATGCGTGGAACTTAAAGTGTAGCTTGGACACAGATCATGTGAACAGGGCATGCCTTTCACGACATGCCACGTGGACATTATCGCGCGCTTCCGCGAGTGAAGGACAGACATTCTCACGCGCGCTCGCGAGTGTTACGAAAACATGTTCACGCGCTCCCGCGAGTGTAAATAGACATTTTCACGTGCTCAATACATGACATTGTAGACTCGATTCGCATAGTGTTTTTCTCACGCGTCTCTCGAACGTTCTCGATTCGTGCAGCATTTCTTACACGTGTCTCGACATTTCTCAGATATTTCATCGTGCGCAGCTCAGGGACGGCTCAACATGACGGAACCCGCAAAGGCGGGTACGGGCGGTACGGAGATCACGACGCTGCTCGAGGTACCACCGGCTCGCACATCGGAACGCCAAGCCTCACCCGTGCGCTTGTCCACGGAGCTCATCCTAAATGAACCGACTGGCGACGGTGCGGAATATTGGCGACACGCTGCCAACTTGTGCAAAGAACATGCCGTTAGAGGAGGTCATCCAAATCTCAATGCAGCTCGAAGAGGCAAACAAGGCGTTTCTCAAGGAGCATGCATATCTTGAAGCCGTCAGCCTCACAGCCGTCGGCGCTCATTCAACAGCAAAGCGCACGTTGACAGCTCAGCATGTGGCAGCTCAACCGGCCCGCACGGCAGCATCTAATTTACCCGTGCAATTGTTGCAACGGCACTCACGTCATTGTGATGTGCACGTAATTTAGGGATCTTTCAACAGGAAATCGACAAAAATTAGTCATACCACGGAGGCTTTGGTTCAAATGCCTAGGCCGCCACAACGGCCGCTCATGTAAAGGCTCACGGGGGTGCAAGAAGTGCACCAACCGACACGATGCTGCATGAGGCTCATCAGTCAAACTCATCAGCGAAGCCGATCACCAGCTCAGCTGCGTCAGCTCAATAGGAAGATGGTGCAATCGTCGCTCACTCATCTTTGGCTCGCTCATTACACTCAACATTACTAGCTACGGCCCTGGCTTAAATCAGCTCATCTGTTCATACTCAATGCGTATGGCCTCTCATTGATTCAGGTTCAGAACTTACCTTTGTTTCAGAATCTCTCGTTCGCCAGCTCAACATCACTCGTCATCATTCCGTCATTCTCATCACGGGAATTGGTGGCGAAGAAGGCGACGCAAACTCGAGGAGTTGAATGCTTACGCTCCACTCACTTCATTCAAGAACAGACGTCATTATTCAAGCTCACATTCTGCAGACGTTAACAAACATCCTGCCATCCTTCAACGCTGCACCACAGGAATGGCCGCATCTCACCAAGCTGACCTTGGCTGATCTAGATTTCCTAACACCACGGCCAGTGGATATCATCATTGGAGCTGACTCATATGGGCAGATTATCAAGCCCAACATCATCAAACGAGATACATTGATGCCAATTGCGCAGCTCTCGTCGGATAGCTCGTTCTCGGACCTGTTAATACATCATCATCGGCAATTGCCACAGTGCATCATGCCTCCGTTCGGGAGGGAGAAGATGCTCTTGACGACTTGCTGGCGAAATCTGGATTACTCCTGACGAGCAAAGATGTGAAGAACATTTCAAGAGTATTGTTTCACGGTATTCAACAGGTCGATACACAGTTCGACTTACACTGAAATCATCACTTGATACTCTTGGCGATTCGTATCTCACTGCGCATCGATATTTGAAAAGTTTACAAAGAAGACTCTCACGAGATATCGACGTCTGTATCATCAGTTTATAATACTCTATCAAGAGCTTAATTACATGAAGAATGCTTCAACCGTTTCCAGTCAGCTCACACAATATTATTTGCCACATCACGGAGTGCTCAGACCAGACAGTGCAACCACAACATTACGTGTGGTATTTAATGGCTCGAGTGCATCTACATCCAGCCGCTCACTTAATGATCTCATGCACACAGGAGCCAAGCTGCATTTTAGCATCACCGATGTCTTGCTCTGGATTCGACAAGTTCGGCACTTAGTTGCCACTGACATCACCAAAGGGTATAGTCAGATCAACAGGCATGAAGATGACTGAAATTTCCAACGGACTCGCTGGATGGATGAACAACTCAATGAAGTGCCACATCATCGAACAACGGTCGATATGTTGATGACAATTCTGGAGGCGACGACAGCAGGTAGTCAATACTGCTCAACGGACTTATGCATGGCGGGCGGCTTCCCATTAGCAAGGTGGCACGCGACTCATCAAGACGTACTCACTGCGGTTCAAGCAGAAAAAGACCAGGGCTCACAAACTACATTGACGATTGCGTAACCAAAAGACTCAGATTACGATGGCTTCCTCAAGAAGATTCATTCACATTCTCAACAAGGATCTCGTCGCACACCGATTATCTCACCAAACGCCTCGCTTGGTCTGAAGTGGCTCAGATACTCGATCCATTGGGCTTTGTATCACCAGTGGTGATCAAGGCAAAGATGCTCTTGCAGGAGCTTTGGCTACATGAAGCTCCAATGGGATGAACCACTGCCATCCCAGCTCTCATCACGGTGGCTCATTATCAGAAAAGAACTCACAAGCTTGATCAAGCTCTCAATACCTCGGTGGTACAACCAAGGTAGCACCTTTCAAATCACATGGAGTACCTCGTCAGTGGAATTTCACGGCTTTTCTGATACTTCTCAATTGGCAATGGCTGCAGTCGTATTTATCACCGTCCACGGCTCTAATGGCGCCACGATTTCATTGGTGTGCTCCAAAACGAAGGTAGCACCACTCAAACAGCTCACCATCCCGAGACTTAAACTCACCGCAGCATTGCTGCTCTCAAGACTCATGCAATACGTTCAAGCCACCTTGAAGTTGAACGTTACAGCAGCTCACCTGTGGACGGACTCTGTTGTGACACTCACGTGGATCAAATCTCATGCATCGCGCTGGAAGGATTTTGTGAGAAATCGAGTTTCTTAAATTCAAGAGCTCACTGCGAACGCACATTGGAAATACGTACCAGGTACGTCCAACCCAGCCGACTGCGCATCACGAGGATTAAGTACTGCTCAACTCCAAAGCCACTCATTATGGTGGATGAGACCACCGTGGATTCTCACACCTGAAGCATGGCCATCTCAACCCGCGCTTCCGGACGAATTGAACGGTCATGAGGCTCGTCCTGGCATTGCTCTATATGCAGCTGCATCTCAGCCGAACTATCATTGGGATCTCATATTCAAGTACTCAACCTTCAATAAATTATTGAAAATAACAGCTCTCTGTTTCAGGTTTATCGCTCTCTTGAGAGGGTTCTGGGACGGGTCGTTGGACTCGCACTCTGCTTTGGAGAAGGCCAGATTTTTCTGGATCAAGGCTACTCAAGCGGCATACTTCACGTACGAGATCAAGATACTCACGGCCAACTCGAGATCACCAACTGCTCACGCATTTAGTCGATTGACGGCGTACATAGACGCTCAAGGACTCATCCGAGTTGGCGGCCGTCTCAATCAACCAACATTGGATCAAGACAACAAACATCAGGCGATTTTACCTCGCCACTCACGTTTCTCAATCTTAATCACGCCCATTTGCGCACCTTGACTGGAGGAACACCGCTGACATTGGCTCATGTCAGGCAAAATTACTGGATCATCGGCGGAAGGGCTCCGGTGAAGTCTTGTATTTTTCGGTGTGTCGTGTGTGCTCGGCAGAGGGGGATCCGTGCTCATCAACTGATGGGCCAACTACCTCTCTCTCGGGTTACGCCGTCACGTCCGTTTACTCATACAGGAGCTGACTATGCCGGACCGCCCACTATCAAAACATGGAAGGGACGAGGTGTGAAAATATACAAGGAAAAGATCTGTGTTTGTCTGCTTCTCCACCTCCGCAATTCATTTCGAAGTAGTCAGTGACTACCCATCAGAAGGATTCATAGCAGCCTTCCGAAGATTCTCAGCTAGAAGGGGAATTGCTCAGACCATGTATTCGGACTGCGGGACAACATTCATTGGAGCAGACGCCGCGCTCAAGAAAATGTTCATCCAGGACTCTCAAGAACATCACGGATTGCTAAAGTTTTACAACTTAATGACACAGGATGGGAGTTCAACCCACCAGGCGCTCTACACATGGGGGGCAAGTGGGAGGGGGTAGTAAAGTCTGAAGTTTCATCTGAGACGGACTATCGGGGAGACTCTACTCACGACGGAAAAACTCACAACGCAAAACAAGGACATTCTCAACTCGCGGCACTTAGAACCGCTGAGTGACGACCCTGAAGACGTCTCAGTGCTCACACCAGGTTTCCTCATTGGAGATCCAATCATTACCATGCTCGAGCCATCTCTGATTGACCTAGCAACCTCACGACTATCTCGGTGGCAGCTCATCCAGCAGCATGTTCAACATGTTTGGGCACAAGGGTCGGCTCATTATCTGCAACGCCAGCAGGCGATATCCAAATGGCATCATCCTAACAACAGCATCAAGGTGGGTTTCATCGTGCTGCTCACCAACGAACGCTCTCCACCGTGCAAGTGGCCACTCGCCAGAGTAACGGACCTGCACCTCGGCAAGGATGGGCTCACTAGGGTGGTTACCCTTAAGACGGCCACCACGAAACTCACTCGGCCAATCTCAGAATAAAGGATCAAGAGTAAGGAATCATCAACAAGGTTGCTGATGGCGGGCGGAATGTTCGAGATTCCGTTAACGTTGCGCCGTCCGATCAGATAGCAGCATCGATCGAGTATCGACGCCCGATCACCGCGACAGCTGGCGCACGCACGGGCGCGCTCATCGCCAACGTCTTCCTCGCGATATTCAGAGTCGTACAAATGGCCGCGCAGTGATCAGACGCACGACGTGTGCTCTGTGCATTTTCGATTGTGACTACACATTGAAGTGCCCACCGCAGTGATTACAACAGCTGCCGAGATACTGCATTAACATGTAAAGCGACCGCTCATCCAGCGCTACTCGGGTACATCAACACGACGACTCAGGCTCACATGTGCGCGAGTGCCGACCGCCACGTGTCTCACCGGCTCACGGGCGATTCATCGAAGAGGACGACAATTAATATAATTGCCTCTCATTTACACAGACTATATAGACACCTCATTTTGTTCACCGCTCATCACTCTCAGGTCAGATTGTATCAATTTTGACGCATTAAAGACGCATTAAAGACGGCTCAGACTGTGGTCTGAGTTACACAAAAATAAAGTAAATATTTAGTTAACACCTTCCACGCGCGTCCTTCTCATCCCGCTTCTATCGCCGGGATTAATCAGCGATTTCGCGAACACTACTTAACTTCATGTTTTATGTGAATTTGCAGGATACGAGCTTCAGTCTACACGTTTACGACATGGGACTGTTCCTTCTATTTTTTCTTGGCAGAGTAAATTTCAGGAACATGTTAATGTGAAAGAAAAAGAAAATGAGAGGGATAATACAGAAGACTTTACACCAGTCATATCTGAAGCGTCAAACAATGTACAAGATGATAGTCTCCAGCAAGGTCAAAATTCTGATACAACTGGATTTTTCACGGATAAAAATGTATCAACGCCTTTAAATGAAGAAACTCATATTTCAGTGGAAGTTTATAATTATGCTGAAATGGAGCTTTTGACAAGCAATATAAATGTTTATGAAGAAAGTATTAGTTGCAATTACGTGCAAAATGAAAACTGTTCAACGAACGACACTGAACAGTGTAATGATAAAGAAGCTTGCAGCTTTGCAACAACTGCGACAGATTCAGCTTCTCGTTATAGTATTGAGCAGTTTAAAAATAATCCAGAATCATTGTTACATTTAACCGGATTAGAAAACTATGACAAATTCATGACAGTGTTATACTCCCTAGGACCAGCAGTGTATTATTTAAAGTACGCAAGAGAACAGGCAGTAGGAAATATATCAGTGCCAAATCAGTTGTTTCTGGTGTTGTGGAAATTAAGAAGAAATTGCTGCGATATTGAACTGTCAGAGCACTTTTCTATTCCTAGACTAGCTGTAGGAAACATCTTTCACACATGGATAACTTTTATGGCAAAGCAATGGTCTCTAATTGATATATGGCCTAGTAGACAACTAGTCGACTATTACATGCCAAAAAGTTTTAAACAACACTATCCCTCCACAAGAGTTATCATTGATGGAACTGAAATTCGAGTTGACAAGCCACATAATCCACGTTTACAGCAATCATCATTCAGCACATACAAAAATGGTCCTACTGTTAAAACTGTCATTGGCTCTACTCCGGGTGGTTTAATTTCATACCATTCTCCAGCATATGGAGGTTCAACTAGCGATAGACAGATTATTGAACGGAGTGATTTGATGAAAAAGTGCGATTCTGGTGATTTAATTCTGGCTGATCGAGGGTTTGTAGTACAAGACATTTTTGCACCACACAATATTACTGTTGCTACACCTACTTTTACAAAAGGTAAAGGATATCTACCTCACCAAACAGTTATGAAAGACCGTCTATTATCAAAACATCGAGTCCACATTGAAAGAAGTATTGGATTACTCAAGACGTACAAAATTCTTTCAAGTAGACTGAATCACAACTACATTGCATTGGCTACAAAATTAGTTGAAGTATGTGTTATGTTGTGTAATTTTAAAGAAAATATTATGCAAAAGGTGTGAAAATAAATACAAGATATATGTACTGGTAATAAAATTTTGTTTATTTTTAAATAGAACAGTTTTGATTTCTATAATGTACTTAATACAAACTTAAACTATTTTATAAATTATATAAACTTCTCATCGATTTATTTCTTCTTAAAAATACTGGCATTTTACATTATTTTATAAAGTTATGCCACAAAATGAGTTTTATTGCATTTTAACTTTTCTTTACTTATTTTAGTATTTACGTTTTATTCAAAAATCTTATCTTAAAGTTTACAACAATAGAACAAGTTTTACCACATTTCAACTTTTCAATATATATTACTTTCATTTATATCTTAGAATTTACCTTAAAATTTATAATCGCAGAACGAGTTTATCACAAGATATAAAGATGTAATACTTATACTTATTAAAATAACTTGTCATAATTTCTATAAATATATTTTTCAAATATTGCAGGCTTAAGGTATGTTTCATAAAAATTAGTTAACTTGAAAAGCATTTCCGATATAAACTTATCGTCCTTCTCAATTGATATTTGCACTAACTCCTTAAAGGTATATATCAATAAATCACAATATAATCTTCCAGTAACCAGCAACTGTCCTTGAATTTGATAGTAGTACGAATGATTCTTCCGTAATGTTAAACAATTATTTTCATCTCTCTCTAAGTACGGTACAGTTATTTCATTTATTGGAAGATTCCTACTGGCATATGGACATTTCACTTCTATCACCGATAATAGGACAAGTAGGCGATCTGGGCTACCTCCAATATATGGATGAGAAGGTAAAATAAATAGTCCACACTCCTGTATATTTAGCTCATTGACACGAGATTCATTAAATAAATTTACTGCAACATCTTCATATATTTTCCCATGGGATGTTACTTTTGATGTGAAAGACCTTGGATTTAAAATTGATTGAGCTAAAGTCTCACCGCCTTTTTTACTTAATTTTTCATTGCAACAAGCATAAAAATTACTCGCTGTTATTCTATGACACCTATATTCATGCTTTATTATTACTTTGGCCACGAGTTTCTTGTTCTATTTCTTGTACTTGTTCTTCAGAAACATCTAGTAGATAAAGAGATTTAAGCAAGGAATTTTGGCATTGTACGTTGAATAGCAATGATCCCACTCTATTGCATATGGATTCGCAGGTTCCAAGATCATTTTAATTTACATCGAGTTTTTATATCCACAAGCAATAAATAAATTTCTGTAATAGTTTTTGTACCATATTGCATAGTTTTTATTATCTAAATTATACTCTGGGATTAGTGTTCTTCGTTGAAAAAGCTTTACTTTCATCGGTGATCCAGTGTATTTCTTTGTTGGCTAGTGAAAAGTTTGCAATTTTTCTGTTAATGTCTGTTCTAAGATTACTGTCCTGTTCAAGCATACATCATTCATAGCCAGTAATAATACTGTCACATGCTTACAGTGGGCGGTTTTTGAATGCCCGACTGTACATTCACAGCTGGTTTCTTGAATCTCTCCATCAAAACTAATACTGGCATTAACTTTATATTGTATGTACATGCTTTCGCATTTCAGCCCTGCATTGCCCTTTTACAAAATATATATTATCTGTAATAATATAATTGTTTACTAATGTTATTATGTCACTTCAAGCTTTTTAAAATAAAAATTTGAGTAAAATTTAAAATTGATAATATTGTGATAAATAATTACCATCAGGAACACAATATCGGATGTACGTTAAATATCCATTATTATATAAACCTACAGTTGAACCCATATTTTTTTGAAACCTGCAAAATATAAATATTAATATAACATCTTGAATATTATTCTATTTTATATTGAAATATATATTGCATAAAAACTTGTGTAAACCTTTGCAAAAAGGCATATAGATGATTCATGGTAAAAGCAGGTACAGGACTAGATGCATTGATATCTTTGTAACTTGAAGCTGGTGGAGTCTCTATACAATCTTCCGTTTCCAGGATTGGCTCATAACCAAAATTATTATTTTTATCATAATATATTAATCTAAAAAGTTATAAAAATATATTAATCTAAAAATTAATCTAAATACAACTTACTGTTAAGTGATTAAAGCACACATTTTGTAATCTGCCCATATGTACAATTATATACTAACCTGTCCTCTAACTCTTTTTTCTTTCCATATAATAATGCACCTCTTTCTCGCAGCAGCTCCTTCAATTTTTTAATACTTAATTTACCATAATAATCTTCTTTCGACATTTTTGTTGAATCGAACTAGCCGCGAAGTATCACAGATAGGCTCACGCATACACCAACACATACATGTATATTGAGTTAGTGTTGGTGACACCGCCATGACAGGACTAGACGCCATGGCGCCATCTGCCCCGAGTTTTACACCAAACATTCCTAATTCTTGAATTTAAAACAACTTTCACAAAAGCTGTTACTATTATTAGCGCTTGGTACAGCGCATAGATTACAGACACTAACCTCGATTAGGATTTCGAATATTATCAAATCCAACCAAGGACTGGAAATTAGGATTCCAGATAGAATAAAAACGACAAGAGCAGGCATCAAACAGCCGGTTTTAAAGCTGCCTTTCTTCAAGGAAAAACCTGGCCTATGCATTGCAAAGACACTTCTGCATTACTTAAAAGTCACCAAGACAATTAGAAATGGAGAAGATAAGTTATTTATTTCTTACCAAAAACCTTATAATATTGTAAAAGTAGATACTCTAGGCCGAGATGGATAAGATTATGCCTAACTATTCTTGGAGTAAACCGAAGATTTACTGCACATAGCACTAGACATGCGTCAACATCAAAAGCATATGAAAAAGGAGTAAGCATTGAAGAAATAAAGCGAGTAGCTGGTTGGTCTTTAAACTCAAAAATATTTGCAGATTTTTACAATAGATCTATAATTGTTCAAGAAGACAATTTCGCGACGAGAGTATTATTAGCTTCAGAATAAAAAAGTCTAGTGCTATGTGCAGTAAATCTTCGGTTTACTCCAAGAATAGTTAGGCATAATCTTATCCATCTCGGCCTAGAGTATCTACTTTTACAATATTATTTTACATATTCTATTTTATACATCATATATAATTAGTTTATATACAGCTATATGCGTTCAAACCAGTTTAAAATAAAATTCAGTTCATTTTATCCAAAAAATTATTTGAACTCTAAAGATCTACCTTCGTAATCTCAAAGGGCGAAACACGAAGTATAATAGTGTGATCAACCGAGCCGCCGCCGCGCCGTAGGCGGTGACGGTTGATACAGATTATACAAGTGTCTCGTCCGAGAGATTTCCACACCTTTAATTTCTACCCCACCCAAAAAAAACACAAATAAAACATTTATATATGTATGAAGTATATGTACTGTGACTTTGCGGCCCGCCGCTTCGTGGCAGCGCCCCGCCGCCGTTACAAGGCGCGGAAATTCGCGGCCAGAGACGAGCCAGAGAGGCGATGACGAGATCTCCAGAGGCCAAAAATTTATATTATTTCCGCGTTTTGACTATTGTTTTATTTTTATGTAATCGTAATACACGCGGCGCCTCACCCCACCACGACGAATCTTCGAGGGAATACACGTAACGGAAGGGTCCGGGAGGACCAAGGACCGAGGGGTGGCGAAGGCGAAAGCGGAAACCACTGAGATCCCGGGCGGCGAGAGAGGTAGCGATGGACAAGGCCGCCGATAGCGGGGCCCCAGGCGCCTGGGGAAAACCCGGCCTCAGCAAATTGCCTCCACGAAATACCGGCCCGCGGGGTGACTGATCACCGCCCCGAGGTCAAACCGGAGGCACACCGGCTAGAACGAAGTCCAGTCCGCTGTCCAGGGACAAATTGAAGGAGTCGCTACGCCGCCGAGGGACCGTTGCGCGCCCCCGAAGGATCCACCTTACGACGATCCTGCGTTAAAATATCGCGCGAGCTTGCAAGCACGCTCCCGATTGGTCGGCGCGCCCCTAGGGAAGGGTTGCCACATCGA